CGGTTTTTTTTCGTATCTTTTCTTTCTACTCCTTTTGCGCAATGACATCGATCAGTAGAAACAAAAAGAATAATACCTTGATATTTATTCCTTTTTTTTTTTTAGTTTCTTTTTTTAACTAAACCAATCAAATACACAAGTTAGTACCTTTTACTATAATTTCTCGTTGATCATATAGATGACACCATCTGATTATTAGTTTAGGATTACAAACAAAAGTTGTTTTTAACTTATGGTGTAATTACTTGATGTCTAATATACTATTTGTTCATTCAACACAGATTTTTTGGCATGAAATCGAACAATGTTTGTTCTCAATTCTTGTGTCTTCAAATTCTAATAATTGCCTAATTATATTCTTTTTTACTATTTTTTTGTCATTTAGTGCAATCATAATAGGTATACAATTAGTTGTATGTGTACTCAAGTTATTATTCTTTGGCTATAATCATTTAATGTTGTATACATAATGGGTGAGACAGATTAAATTGTCGGTTCTTATTAACTACGTTCGAATTAATTATTTAGTTTAGTATTCAGAACAAAATATATCATAGACTAGAGCAAATCAAGCTTCACAAATAAAAATTTCGAAAATATAACATGCTCAAAAACTATTCCTGTTCGCTTGTAAATCTGTTAAAGATGTGATAGGAAGTATGATAGATCAAGTTAACAATCTTTGTACACTGCATTCTGATGTAGACTTTAATTTTACTCTTATAACAAAGTATATCATCAGGTACAGCAAACACAGATCTATATTTACCTACGACAAACTAATAAGATAGAAACACTTTTATGCCTAGAACTTTTGAAAGCACAACATACTCCAAACTGGTATAACTTGTTAGTTCATTTTTATATACATTGTACGTCTCTTGCAATGTTTTGTTGTGAAAGGCTGCTATCAAGCAACGTATAATTAATATAAACATATTAGGTGATTATATTTGTGACGCGGGTTTTTAATTGACCGAAAATTTAAAAGATCGAAACTCACAACAAGAAAGTAAAAGAATACATAAGACTTGTCTAATAATTATACAAGCAAGCAGGAGTAGTTTTTAAGTACGTTATATTTTCAAAATTTTTGAACATAAAAATACTTGTTTAAAATTAGCTGGTTATATGAATTTGTGCAGTTTGATTTGCTCTATTCAATGGCATATTTTGTTCTGAAAACTAAAATTAATAATTAAATTCGAATGTAGTTGATGAAAACCTGTAATTTAATATAACCCTACTTTATTCAGAAATCAAAAGTAACTTATATTGATTAATACTTATCTATTTAATATTGATGTAAAAGTTTTTTCAACAGAATCTAAAGTAAAGATTCATAGAATCATATTGAACAATGTTTACATATGAATTTCTTTGCTCTAGATTAGAATAAAATTTGATTAGTTGTCAGAGATGCAGTAAACTTGTTAAACTTTATTCATTACTTTTCAGTTTTTTTTTCTGCTTTAGATATTATACTCTTCTTCTCATAATGTGTTTTATTTCAAGATAGGTTAAACAACAAAGGAAATTCATTATTCAAGTTCCTGCTGACTCAAATTAACAAACCTTGAAAGAAAATTGTAGGCAAAAATGGTGTTTTTTTTTTAAATTAGCGTTGATGACATGAATCACAAAAATTATCCTAATGCACAAAATTATAAATTGATAATTAGAAACACAGATTCATATTATAGAATCATTTTTCTTTGTAAAATTATTCACATGTCATGTCGTAAATTCAAGATATCTTGCTTGATTTTTTGAAAGAAAAAGCTAAGAACGTTCTGCTTAATAAACAATATTTGATGACATCTGCTATATCATGACCATAAAACTTTCTTCTTTTTGCTAAGACGGTTTAATATTTTTATATTATATCTCAGCAGAAGTAAATCTTGTGAAAATCAAATATAATTAAATTGATTTTTTAATATTCATTTTTTTGTAAAACAATTTTTTTTTTACGCAATTATAGAAAGAATTCAAAATGAGTTGCAACTAATGAGATTATTTGTTTGATCGATATATATATAAAACAAATCCTCTTTAAATGAGTTTTATTTTGACTGAAAAGAATATAAAACATAAAAACGATTCATCTTTTCTTGTATTTGTACCATGACTTATTGGATTATTATTAAATACATATATCATTCACGCTGCATAGTTACACCTTTTTACTTATTGTATGTTGTCATCAATTAATACGAATGACATCACCAAAGGCGTGTGCTGATAATAGAAAATTATGAACTAAAAGTGCATTTCTATATAAATAGAAACGTGCTTTGTACCTTTCTATTCAAGAATAATTAATAAATAATGAAAAATATAAAAATAAGTATATTGATATTAGTGATTAGTATAATTGTTTATTTATTTATTGAACATATCAATCGTCGAGCATATGAACTACTCAATGAAATTGAATATCGTGGAAGTCGTTCAATCGATGAAATCGAAAAACGAACACGTCAACTAATAAATGCTACAATATTTGAATTCAATAATCAAATTACTCAACAAATAAATTCAGTTGTTGAAAAAAATCGAAAATACATTCCATTACAAAATCCATATGGTGCTACAACTTGTACAGAATGGTTTGGATGTCATAAAGGTTATTGTTGGGCAGGATGTTCTGGTGCTTTTCCATCTCTAACTGGTCCTGAATGGTGTTATACAACAAAATCAAAAGGAAAAATGACTTGTTCACAAGATCAAGACTGTAATGGATGTTGGCGATGTTCAAGCCCATGTAGTATTTAATCAACAAACTCTTTTGTTTTTGCATACTCGTATTCAAATGTATACATATATAAAATAAATTTCTACAATTCATTGATCTGCAATACTGATGATCTTGAATCATGTTCATATTGAATTTCTTTTCTCTTTTCATTTAAATGTTATTGATAAAGCGGACAAACTGTTTTTTTTTCTCAAACAACATTTTTGGACTTTATTTAATCATGCACAATAAGTGTACATCTAAATTTATTTGAAGAAAAAGATAAACTATAACTCTTTTTATTTCATCTTACAGGTGAATGAAAATAATTATACAAACTAGAAGTATGAGATAATGTATAAAAAGATCTTTTGTGCTAAGTTAAGAGTTGACTTTAAAGAAAAAATTATAATAAGATAAGACTAAGTGTTTATGTTCATGAACATCTGAAAAATTTTTCAAGTTTATTTTCCATGATCTTTTTTGGCAATGTATCTAATAAGATCAACAACACGATTTGAATAACCATATTCATTGTCATACCTAAATATAAAAGTATTGTATTTCATATGTAGAAACAAATCTGAAATAAATAAAATCTTACCATGCAACAAGTTTGACAAAATTGTCATTGAGCGAAATACCAGCTTTAGCATCAAAAATTGATGAATGTGTATCACCAATGAAATCAGTTGAAACAACTTCGTCATCAGTATAACCTAAAATACCTTTTAATGGGCCATTAGCAGCTTCTTTAATTGCAGCACAGATTTCATCATATTTAGCCTAAACAATAAATTTCATGTGATAAATCAAATCAAAATACAAATATAACTTACGCCTTTAGTTAATCGAGCAGTGAGATCAACAACTGAGACATTGGGTGTTGGAACACGGAAAGCCATACCAGTTAATTTTCCATTTAAGTCAGGAATTACTTTTCCAACCTAATTAGACAAAAAAAAAAAAAAGAAAAAATTTCTTATGTATGTTAAAAACAAACAATAAACATACAGCTTTAGCAGCACCAGTTGATGATGGAATTATATTTTGTGCGGCTCCACGTCCACCACGCCAATCCTATTGAAATAAAATAGATAAAATATAAGTTTTTTTTTTTTCTTGTTTGATTTAATACTTTATTTGATGGTCCATCAACTGTTTTTTGTGTAGCCGTGTAGGAATGTACTGTTGTCATTAAAGCTTCCAGGATACCAAATTTTTCATGGACAACTTTAGCAAGTGGTGCTAAACAATTTGTTGTACATGATGCATTTGATATAACTGCTTCTTTGCCAGTATATTTGTCCTCATTGACTCCCATAACAAACATAGGAGCATCAGCTGATGGTGCTGTAATTATAACTTTTTTAGCACCAGCTTGTAAATGTGATTGACATTTATCTATGGTTGTAAATACACCTGTTGATTCAACAATATATTCGGCACCTTGAAAAAAAAAAATTCAATAAACCACTCATCATACAAGGTCAAGTGTAAAAGTGTACCTAATTGACCCCATGGAATTTTTGATGGTTCTTTTCTAAAAGTAAAAATACATGAAACATTAAAATTTGTTTACTTCAAATATTTACTCAGTATAAACATTTATTTCTTTTCCATCAACAATAAGTTTTCCATCTTTATGTGAAACTTCACCTTTATAACGTCCATGAGTTGAATCATATTTAAACATGTAAACCATATAGTCAGCGGGAATAAATGGATCTACAAAGTCATATTTTAATAGACATATAAACAAAAAACATATAATACGAACCATTAATACCAACTACTTGAACACCTTGTGCAAGTGCACATCGGAATACGAGTCGACCAATACGACCGAATCCATTTATACCAATTTTAACATCCGATGAAGACATATTTACCAGTGAAATAAATTACAAGTTTAGTCTATTTTACGATAAAAGAAAAAAAACATAAGAGAAAGAAATATGACTAGGGTAACGCATTTATAAAGACTTGCGGCGAACAATTATTTTTCTGTTGGATGCACACGAGACAGAATTTGGATAATGTGTATAGCGACCTCTCTGTAGTAATCATTGTGTAAATATATTTCTTTTCGATTAGATTCAGATGAATTATTTTATGAAGAATCTATATTAAAAATGAAAATTAAACTTGTTTTAATGTATCATTATTCATAATGGTTATTTATTTGAACCATTAATTGACGTTGAATGAGTCATGAATTATTCGAAATCAATTATTTTTTCTTTCAACAAAAAAAAAAATGTTAAATTTTCGAAGAATATCATTGTTTTATCGTTCAATATCTATTAAAACCAATGTTTGCCGCTTTCGATCAGCTCGTCGTTCTTCTAAATCATTATTAACTGATGAAAAACATATTGTTACTGAAACAAAACCTGTTTCATTAGATAATCTCTCACCTGTAGTTCGTCAAATTCTTTCTAAAGATCCGTCATATGCTGTTCGTTTTGGTGGTCAATTATCTGAAAATAAAAAATATCTTGTTCGACAACATTCACGAACAACAGGTCGAGCAGAAAATCTTCTTTCACAAATACCAAAAGATGATATTATTTTGTCAATAAATGAAGATGAAGATGATCTACCTCATCCACCTATTGTTGCTTTTCCATCAATGGAAAATCAATTTCAAATGGATTTAGGAACAGAAGATAAAACAATACCTATTCATGAAACAGCTCGTTGTTTTGGTTGTGGAGCATCACTTCAATGTGCTGATAAAACTAAACCGTAAGATATTATTTCTAATAGGAATTATTTATTTGTAAAATATATTCAAGAGGTTTTGTACCAGTTGAAATCTATAAACATTATCTTTCAACAAACTTACAGAAACGAACAAGTCAATGTCAACGATGTTTTCTTTTTAAATATACAAATGAAATATCACATTGTCAAGTTAATGAACAAGTTTATAAAGATATTTTAACAGAAATAAAACGAAAACGTGCTTTAATTATTTTAATTGTCGATCTTCTTGATATACCAAATTCAATTAGTCGATTATGGACAAATCTTGTTGATGAAACAGCAAAAAGTCATCATAATTCATCCAATATTATATTTGTTCTTGGCAATAAAGTTGACCTACTACCCAAAGGCAGGTTTGTTTTAAATTAGAAGCGGTTTACCATTACATAAATCAGTTCCAGACAACTTTTTCCATAGATGAAAAAACAAAAACGAAGCAATAAAATTTTATCTGTCTTGTAAGAATAGCTTATAATATAAACTTTGAATTATATTGACCGGACTGTTAATGGTCACAACAAATTAGCGACTAATTCAAAACTACAGTTCATTTTCGGTCAGATATTTGTTGATAAAAACCTGTGGAACATATTGATTTGTATTTTTTAGACAAAACATTTACAATAAAAACTTGTTGAGAAAACTAATAAACCGCATTGTAAGCGAGTAAAAATTTAAAGATTCAGTGCTAATATTAAAAAAATGAGCTTTTCTTTTGTATGACAAAAGTTACTTTTAAAGTTTCCATGTATAGAATTCTATACTTTTGTGAAAGTGATGTATATATTCAAAAAACAAACATTTTGATTATTATTGGCTAGCATTAACTGTTTTGATTAACTTCATATTGTGAAGTTTTTCTTCGAAACATTTTTAATTTTTCATATCTTCGTTCTAATAAAGTACAAAGCATCTAGAAAAAAAATCTTACATAAGTCTTTAATGTGTTTATGGTTTTCTTCATCTACACAGGCAAATATCGATTAATTCGAAGACTATCTTTTAGAGAAAAAAGTGAAATATCTCTGCCCCGATTTGTATCGTTAATTTCAGTGTCATATATTACGAGTATATTATTACTTGGCGAATGATTCATAATGAATTAATTAGCAGTAATTGAGAAAATCATTTTTTTTTTCAAAACTTATCAAAGATTCGACGACGGATGTATTTAAATGCATAAAAAATCTGTTTCAGATAGTGAATCATATTTGTCTAATGTTCGTCAATGTCTTGAAAATGAATGTACAAAACGTGGTTTAGGAAGACATATAGTTAAATATTATGGTTTAATTAGTGCGCGAACTGGATATGGTATTGAAGAATTGATTTCCAAAGTATTTCGTTATTGGTCACAACATGGTTTGTTTTTACTATTTTTATTTCTTCTACTTTTACTTTTAAAAATACAATAGGTGGTGTGTATTTACTTGGTGGTACAAATGCTGGAAAAAGTAGTTTATTTAATAGTCTTATTGATTCTGATCTTTGTCATATTCATGCACTTGATTGTGTTCAACCTGCAACTGTATCCAATCTTCCTGGTAAAATATTTATTTAAGAATTTATTATTTTTATTGTATTATTTAGGTACAACAATGAATGTTGTTCGTTTTCCGATTCAACTACGAACTGGAAAAAATCAATTTATGCGTGAAGAACGTCTTAAAGAACGAGAAGAAAATGAAACAATTCCAGATAATAATAATAATTCAATTGAAAACGAAACAACTATTGCTGGTATGTGTCATTTTTCTTTTCGGTCGATGAATAAGATATCGAGAATAAAATTTTTAGAAAATATTGAATCAACAGTAAAATGGCGTCGTCGATTTGAATCTGAAATGAATTTACCAAAAAGTGGTGCATCATATACATATTCATCCGGTGAAAATTCTTTTAATGAAGATCGTTCATTTGAATCAAGTGAACATAATTATATTACTTATCGACAAAAGAAAATGCGAGCTTTTAATCCTGATTCATATAAAAATGAAAAATGGCTTTTTGATACACCGGGAGTTATTTTACCTGAACAAGTGAAAAAAAAACATTTTTTTTAATTAAATTTTATTTAATTTTTTTGTTGAAGATGATTAATAAATGCAGTAATCGAACAGAACTTTCATTTTTTGATCATCAATCAACTGTTATTCGACCAGTGAATATTTTGCTAAATGTTGGACAAACAATATTAATTGGTGGTGTTGCAAGGATTGATGTTAAACATGTAAATTGTTGTTCTCTATTTTATCATACGTATTGTTACTTTTTCCTCTAGATTACAAATCATGGTCAAGGAACACTTTCATTAATGACAACATCTCGTTTGCCCATTAATGTGATACAAACAAAAGACGTTGAAAAATTTTATGAAAATGCTCTTGAAAAAAACCAACTTGGAGTTAGTAGTCGTTTTTCGCTTTATATTCCAACATAGATGATTATTTCTTTTTAGATACCACAAAATCAAATAAATGGTCGTCTTCAAGATCCACCTCGACTTATTGGGCCGACTATTGAAATTCTTGGCATTGGAGAAGAAGAAGCTGCTGGAGATATTGTTCTATCATCAGCAGGTATTCATTTTTTTCTTTTTTAATAGAGATTTTCATTAGACATAGGGTGTATCCAAAGTTAGGTCTTTATGTTGATTTCTCTTCAAAAACGATAGCATTCAACATTTTTAGCTTCCAAACATATCAAATTCTTTTAAATAATTTCATGTATGAATAAATGAGGTCACGATTTGTGTTTACGAGAAATACAGATGCCGGTATATCTTTCACTACTATTGATTATCCTCAAAAAAAAATACGGAAAAGTCTAGTTTGTTGTATCAATCTATTTTTTTCATGATTTCTACACAAACTCGAAAAGTTTTATCTTTAAATAACAATTTTAAATTTAGGTTGGGCTAGTGTTCAATGTAGTCGTGATCAATATATAGTATTTGATGTAATGACACCAGATGGTCTCGGTATTCATCTTCGACAACCACCATTACTTAAGCATTTAATTCATTTACGTGGTTCACAAATAGAACAAACACCATTCTTTAATAAACATATTTATAAAGAAGATCAACAAGAAAATGAAGATAATACTGAATATCAGTCAAATGAACTTGAAATGATTATAAATGAAAAGTTATGGAAAGGAGAACAAAATAAACATCAACGACATGCTGAACATAAAAAATAAACATTGTTATTTTTCTAATAAGCGTTAACTAAAAATAAAAATCAGTAACACATTTGATGAATAATTAGCATTCAAAAACTGAAACCAACAAAAAATAGAACAAAAAGTTATAGGAATAGGGATCGAAAAGTACAGTGCAAAGGAAAAAAATAACTAGAATACTAGATATTTTTAAACAATTGCTTATCTCACATGATGAACGAACCCTAAAAGTGTCGGTATACAACATATTTCTACCTATCTGAAAAAAGCTATGAAAATATTGATATTTCTAAAGATCAATATCTGTAATTACAGTTTCATTACAAAAGATTCTATAAGCGATTATTAAAAATATCAGCATATCATGCGAATTCGTGGATTGGCAAATTCTATGTGTTAATGATATTGAAAAAATAAAATTCATTTCTTTTATTTAAATCATCGATTGTTCTGGAAACATTACCCTTTATTTCTTTAATGAAATGTGTGGTAGCTTCGTACCGATTAATTCAACTTGTTCGGATCACCTAATTCTTTTCATATGAACTGAGTTCAGTGGCCAACTATTGCCATACGAGTTGGATCTTATAATTAGTTCTTTTCATGAAAGATCACTTGTTGAACACTTCATTTTATCCTATCCGCTTATACTTGTTACAACTCCTTGTCAGCTCACGATTACAGTTTAGTTGACATGATCTCAAAATACAGACATTACTAGTCTCATGAGTACAATAAAATGAGCTGTTTAGTAACGTCAACTCATATGGAGAGAGCTGATCACCAGATTCCGCTCATGTGAAAAGAGTTCGATGATTAAAATTCGTACAGTTAGTTGGCATGAAATTGTCAAACGCTTATATATGATATCGATAAATATAAAGTGACTGATAGCTAGTAGTCATCGAGTTCAAAACTTTTTGGACGCGGATCCGAGTATTTAAAATTTTTTGGACCAGTACCGAATCCGGTCGGTGAAATTTTTCTGGACCCGAGTCCGGACCCGCTAGAGAATTTTTTGACTCAAAACTCAGGGATCAATTTTTTATGGGTTCGGACTTGAATCGAACTCGTAAAACTCTGTTTAATTTTCTAATATAAATCTGATTGTTACAAGAGGATATATTATACGTTTGATTTGTTTTTTCTTGTTCGATGGATAGCATTGTCTACATTTTGTTTAAACAATCACACACCGCCGTCGTAGGAATAAAATTACAATTGTTTCTCATCTCATGTCAATAGTTTCTGATGGAAGAAACAATGCGTATAAAACAAGTGATGATCATGATTGTTTGAATATTATTGAAAGTAGACAATAGGGAAGAACCAGATAATATCTGATCTGATCTATAGTTTTATGATTGCAATTATGTTTAGATATTATAGTCAGGAAGAATTTTATTGTTTTTCTCTTCTACTTTTTAAAAATAAATCTATCATTTTTGGAGTAAGATGAACAAAAATTTAAAAAAATAAAAAAAAATTCTAATATGAATCGAAATTTTTTTCAATGCGGAACTGACCAATAAAAATCTCCCGAAACGCACTCGAACCCAATCGCGCCAAAATCTTCAGATTCGACCGGATCCGGGCAGGACCCGATAGACTCTACTGGTAGCCACTCTTAAATTCTTTTGTGCTTTCTTTTTTCTCACTAGTGGTACTTCTACTCATCAATTCGCAAAATATCTATCTTAATTTTCAAAGAATTATAAAAATTCTGAAACATGTTCAGTATTTTCAGTGAGTTGGAGAAAATGAACATTTACAAAGTTTTATTTAAAAATTCGTATGTCTAACCGTGCTTTTGCTCATTTGTCTTTAATGATATTGTCACGCTACATGTCATAAGAGATAAACGAAAAAACACTTATGATATCATTTTTCATTGATAAACTTATACAATATTTTCATAGGTAATTGGAAATGATGAACAAAAACCAATTAGCTAATTATGAGCAAATTCATCTTCACAGGATATCAACAAAATCAAGCTCAGCGGTATAAGACTCAGAGGTCTCAATGGGCTGGGCCAAGCCCGGCCCGACTCGGCCCATTCAGCCCATGGGCCGAATATAAAACAAAACGAAAATTATCAAAACTTCTTTCTCAAAGTAAAACTGAAATTTCCTTTGAGACTGATCATCGGATAAAAGCATAATCGTAACTGAAAATCAGACATGTAACAGTTCGTCATTAATTATCCATGTGATTCATTATATGTAATTAGCTTCTTTTACAGCCTCCTACATATGAGTTAACAGAGTGGTGCCTAACTTTTGTTACTGTCTTCATTTTAGTTATATCACAGCTAAGTTATTTTAGTTTGTTGTGTTTGCACGCTATATGTGACGAGCAGAACATTTTTTGGAAGATTGGAAAAAACTGGTATCAGTACCAGTTTGATATTTTCACCTAACGTTTCAATGAAAAATTTCAGATTTTCAGTTTTTGAGTTGAGTTTGACACAAAATGACAACTTGACATATGTACGCCTAGCTAGAATTAATTAAAGAAAAAAACCTCGTGACGCCATACGATAAAGTGCTTAGCGTCTTAATTACTTCAGTTAGCATGGCAAGTCAACATGTCTGTCTGAAAAGTATCAATCAGATGAATGGCCCATGGGCACCCATGGGTGGGCCGGTTTTTTTAGAAAAAAATATGGACTGGGCTGGGCCGAGGTTGATAGCCCATGGGCTGGTTTTTATTGGCCCAACTCGGCCCATTGAGACCTCTGATAAGACTCTATCATACATCTAATAGGAAAACAAAGTGCTGTATAATAATTGATAAATGATGAATTTTTATTATTATTAAATAAAAATAAAACAATTTATAACTATAACTATAACTATAACTATCTAACAAATAACAGAAGATAGATTATACGACATTTTGTCTTTGGCTTTGTTTTATTATTTCGACTAACCAATGTCATTGTCTGTTGATTTGATTTCAAATTAAATTAAACTTATCTTAATTTTGTTTCTGGCTAATTGAAATTAATAGACACTTTAATACGGCACACCCAGTCGAACTTCTTTTACTGGAGACGTCATATGACAATTTTAATCAATCCAGTCTTTTTTCTGTGTTTCCAGTGTTATTATTAGGCATATTTGAGTTCATAATTATCTTGCTTAAATCAAATCAAAGCTGCTAATTCATTCAAGAAAAAGGAAAAATGACGCAGTAAACATGACATTTGTTGGTATGCGTATGAATGCTGCTATAGTTTTTTTTACTTCCTCATATTGTCTAGCGATAGCGAGCTTCAAATTGTCAATTTCGTTCATTTTCTACTGGCAAAGATATTGGTAATCCTGTGTTAATAATGATTTAAATTTCTTAATCGCCGGATCATATTGTCCGAATACGAAGATTATTGAATTCTTTATGCAATATTTTTCGTTTGGCAGTTGTATCTTTTCAACGTCGTTGAAAGTCTATCAATAAAAGATCATGGATACTTCTGTAAAACAATCGAATATCAATGTTTTTTTGAAATATTAATTTAATACACCAAGCAGCTAATTTGTAGGTTCTTCTTCATTCAAAAGAGTTTTCGTGACAAATTTCACACTTTTCTGTTCCAAGTACCAACTGATTATGCAAATGTTCAGAATCATTAACCTTGAATTAGTCAATTGTAATATTTATCTTATTTGAGGCTACCAGTGAAAAAGCTTCATGAATGATATCACTTTCTTGTGTTGTCTCCACCAACAAATAAATTTAAATTTGTAATTGTTAGGATACCTGAAACAGTAGGTGGTATTAATTATATATTGAGATGATTTTTCAAGATTTTGGAAATTTGATTTAACAGCAATATAACTAGTTTTGCTACAGACAACTTCAATGCGTCCAAAGGAAATATATAATGGTTAAGATAGCACATTAATATTGCATCATAAGCAATGTCAAGTACAGAAGAACCAATTTCCAATTGATTTGTATCCACAGCAGTATTATTGATATCTGCAACATTTATTCCACCATCAGGATCGATTTTATGTCACTACATGTTTTTGAACATCAACGGTAAAGTAGTTTTTATTATGTTTGATATTTTTCTAAACCTCACAGAATGAGAGTCTGGATTTGGATGAAAACAAAGCCGACACACGGACCAATCCACTAACTCTCAAATCTGTTCGACAGATAGTAGTTGAATCCCTGTTGCGTGTGGATGTAAGTGTATGTGTAGATGGAGAAAAGATTCATACTAACATACAGACTCTCATGTAGTCTTATACATTCTGTCCCTCTATGCATGAATTCGTTGAATAAAAGAATATTTTCTTTTCCCTTCAATTAAGTTCATCCTTTTCTGTATTTGGTGAAAAATTAATGATTTATATATCTTTACCATTTATTTTAAAGAATCATGAAGATTGATTAATATTTCTAGTTACGACATCTATCTCTAACAATATCGGTAGTATGACTTATCGTCATACAAGCCATTACTCGTCTCGTCAACGATCATTCCTTTTATTCTTTTCTTGGTGTGTTCTAAATAATTATAGTGTCTATTGTATTGATAGTGTTGTTCTCAGTATGCAAACATCGCTTGTATATTATGTTTATTATCCTTGTTAGTGTACACTGTACAGTAAATAAGAATTTCTCAATGTCGGCAGTTAAAAGTTGATGCTCAGAAAGAAATATTCATGAAAGACGGTTACAAATTATGGTGATCATCTTTTAGTGAAGAAACAATTATCAACAAATTTAATATATCTGAGAAATTCGAAACATATAATCTGAGCTAATCTATATTCTTTCTACACACAACAGGATACTTGCTTGTATGAACTATATGAAACGAACAAAAGCCTATCCTATTTTTCCAAAATAGATATTTATTCCACAGGACAGGATTAAACGATTTGGAGAATAACTAAAAATGCTTCCTTTTTCTTTCGAAGAGTGACGTTCGATTGTCTTGAATGCTTTGAGTAGTTCGATGAATTCATATATCGGTATTTTCTAGAGAACGACAGGGAAAACGATGCCATTTGGATAGAGCGCCATCTTGACTATTGGAAGAAAAGAACGAAATGAGAACCATCTCAATAGTAAATGGAACGGTTCAGAAAGTGTTTAAGTCAGGTGAATAACGATTTTAAACTGAAAAGAAAATATATTCTATAGTGGCATGAAACGACAAAGAATGCATTGCTTCTGAAGTAGAATATATTCTTGTCGGTTTATAACTCACTTGTCAAACCATTAAACTCACTCTTCGTGGACAAGATAGTTGTTCATGTTTTGGCGAATTCTTTCAATTTCTTTTTCCCATGCACATTTTTCAGTGAGTATAGCCATCTATATTGTACCATTCTTTTTTTCTTTTCTACCACGCTCTGTTCTTATCGCTGGTAGCTTTGTAAACCAATTATTTTGCTTTTTGTTCTGTTATGTCTAGTCAAAATTTGTTCTATTGAATCATTATGTAATTTGTTCCGATAGGTAATTGTAATTCCTGGCAAGGACTTTATTTAATAGTTTTCTTTATCTTGATATATGTCATATTCAATTTCCCATTGAATTATGAAATGAAAAATATAAATTCAATAGAAAAAATTGAATATAATGACACTTGATAGTCTTGCTCTCCATTTTTCGATAGTCATTTTTATTCATATTTTGATTCATATAATCAACAAATCGAAGAAATGTCATTTGCATGATTTTAAAATGATTACTAATGAAGAAATTTTGGACGGAGACGATAAATAAGCATCGAACATGAGCAAAACGTATATAATCACAATTCATTGTTTTTTGTCTGTTTTTAGGTAAATAAATAAGAAAAAAATATGAGTGATTCATTTGCTGAACAATTATTAAATGTGAAACTCAAACCAAGCAAAGACAAAACAAAAGATTTTAGTGATCCAAAATTGGCAGGTGATTTTATATTGATACTTTGCTATTTTCTATGATTAAAGATTATAGCCTATCGTAATATAGAGTTCTGAAATTTTTCAAAATTTCACAAATATTCTTCATAATGTTAAGCTAACAATTGTTTATGACAAAAAATTACTTGAAGTACTTTTATTATCCATTGAATTTGCATTCAATCCTACATTAATAACATGATTCTGCTTCGCTAATTTCTATGCTAATAAAATTAAAACTTTATTCAGGTTTCATCACCAAAGATCAAATAAGTGCATATCAAAAAAGTGCTTTAGAAGCTAATATGGAAGAATGGCAAATGTTGCTTGTTAATGGTATCAAAAAAATAAAATAAACTTTCATTCTAAATATTTCATCATCAATAATTTCTAGAAACATTTCCTGCTATCTATTGTCCAATAACATATTCAGATGCTCAACATTTCATACGAATATTCGAACGACATTTCCAAAAATTACATGAACATCAATTATTTGATCGAATTCGAGAACGAATGGATACTTGGTTTAATGATGATCTAGAAGAAAAACAATGGTATGAACAAATAAAAGAACGTCTTCAAAAAACAATTGATCAAGCATTTCTGGACAAGAAAGAATTCTTTGCTAAAACATCATCACGTAGTGCAAAAGATGCTTGCGTATTTAAACGAAATTTTCTTGACGTATACAAAAAAGAATTATCTAAATTTTCAGATCCATTACAAGAAAATTCTCGTATTATTGCACTTCTTACAGCTGCTTTTTTATCATTATGTGTTACATCGGCTTCTGAAGTTCTTTCAATGTTTATTATTAGTGAACGTATCTATCAAGATATGTTATTAGCTACAGAAGTACAAGATACATCCGATTCCTTATTTAAAGAAAATATAATTCTTCGGCCATTTATTCCAATTGATGTTGATATGGAATTTCGTGGTTTTGTTTATCAACAACGTTTAACTTGTTTATCACAATATAATTATTTAATTTATTCTGAACGTTTATGTCAATGGAAAGATAATGTTCTTGAAAAAATTATATCTTTTTTTAATCAATCTTTGCAAACTAAACTAAATAAATATAAATCAAAGGATTATGTCATTGATTTTGCATTGACGAAAGGTGGTAAGTTAATACGTAAAATACAATTTATTTGTCTATTGTTTTCATTTTTGATGATTCTTAGATGATGACAATATTAATTCAATGAAAGTTTGGGTAATTGAACTCAATCCATTCATGGAAACAACGGATGGAGCTTTATTCAGTTGGCAACATGAACGACATTTGTTAGAAGGACAATCAAATGAAAATAAAGATAAACCTCTTTTTCGTATAACTGAAAAAATACGTCAAGGTTCTTGGTCTATGTTACCAATTTCAATTCGACAATGGATTAAGAATGAGGATAATTTATAAGAACTATTTTTTAATGACTTTTCAATAAATAATCAATTGAATTATTCTTTTTGTTATTGTTTTTGATAACTTAAAATTTTTTTTAATGAAAATCTTTTCAAACAAAGCCAAAGAATTTGAATTTTTCATAGACAAATAACACATGTGATTAATGTCCACAATTAAATTAAGATTGTCACAACAATAGCAAAAAAATAAATACAACGGTGAATATAATCACCTATAATAAATATACATTAAAGAAGAAAAATTATGAATTTTTCGCTGGAATCACTGTTCTATGTTGATGTCTCATTTCAACTAATTCTTTTAATAAGACACGTTTTTCAGTTTCTAATTGTTTAATACGATCATCTTTTGCTTTCAACTGTTGTTGATATTGATTATTTGTTCCATTCAATGATGAAGATGAAAGTGAACTAGATGAGCGATCTGATGATTTCTAAAAAAAAAAACACCATGAAGAATTTTTGTCATCTTTAAATATAAAAGAGAAAAAAAAAGTAGAATTTTTTTTGCTACCTTCGAATCATAATTCGCTTCAATGATAACTGTATTTGCTAATTTAAGTAGATCAGCAACTAAATCTCGATTATAAATTGGTTCTGGTGCAATACCAGTTGTCTACAAAAAAATAATAAATATTAAAAACAGAAAGTAATGTTATTTGATAGCACAAACTTCTGCTGCTGATAGATGAAGACAATAAGAACGTTGTTTATCTTTCATTTCAAGAAGACGATCAGCTAAATAAGCTTTAACACGTTCAAGTGTATCACATGTTTGTAGAAGAAGATCGCGTTCAATTTCAAAACGTTTAATTGCTCGAATCTAAATATTATAGATAAGAAGATGTACAAAAAGAAAAGTCAATAAATGATCGATTTTCAAACCATAGAAAAGTCAATTTCATTAGTGTGAATTGTATTTCTACGCATTGATATGGGTGGATTCTCTGCATAAATATTTCCATTTTGTTTGGTTGGTTTTTGTATAATAATTTTTTTTCTATGACGTACAGAAATTGATGTATTATCATGTGAATTATAATGATTGCTTTCTGTACCATTATAACTTCTATAAACAACAGGAATTTGTTGTTCAATATTTTTTGGTGTAGGAGTGGTAACTACTACACTTGTTGAACGATTTAATGGAAATGATACAGGTGGTGGTGGACGTGTTGCTTTAGGAATTACAATTGGTGGTGTTGATAACGATGATAATGATGAATCAGATGTTGTTATTGGTGGTGGTGAATTTTTCGTTGATGATAATGATCTTTCAATAATACTTAGAAGTAAATCAAATGTTATTAAATAATTATTTGGTTTTGATTCAATTTCAAGTTCATGTAAAATATCAGATGTTGATGATGAATTATCAAATGAAAATGATGGTGTCCAGTAGCGTTTAAATAAATCAAATGGTACATAACCACTATTGGTTTTATCTAGTATTGAAAATAATTGACGTAAAGACGATATAAATGTTCCAGGAAGTGCAGAAGATATTCCTAGTTTTGAAGTATTATGATTTGAAGAAGACGGTATTGGAGGTGGAGGTGGAAGAGGTGCTCGACATTTCGATGAAAACGAACGTTGATTAGTATGGAGTTGTTGTTGTCTATTCATTGTTTCATTATTAATTGGTGAAACACATCTGTATTAAAAAAAAAAACATAAGAAGTTATTTCAATATTTATGATACTATTTCAAAAGAATATTATAAGAGCGAGAGAGAAACGAAAAAGAAATATTGCCTTGAAAATGACATAAATTATATCGTGTCAATTCTAAAATAAGCATATTGTTTGAATTTGACTATTTGAATCAAGATTGGATGAATATTTAAGATTTGAATTTTTAACTTAGAAGAGTTCAGATTTTTTTTCTTATTTATTGAAAGAATCTTTATCAACACATCTATTTTTCTTTTATGTGCAGTTTGCATGAATACACTCGAGCGAAAATGACACGTTAAGTAAAAGAAAGATACTATCACATACTGTCGATTTATTCGACATGTATTGACCATCAATAATGGTCTCACGCTTTTTATCATATCATTTAGAGTTTTTTTTTTTTTTCTTACGTTGTATTAGCTGAAGTCGTACATCGCTGTAATTTGCCGATCATCTGGTCCAGTCGGTCGAGATCAGGACGTACGATATGTGTTAATGTCGATCCTTTCAACTGCTGCTGATGCTGCTGCTGTGTCTGAGACTGAGATTGCTGTGGCATTTGCTCTTCGAGGGTCGCATGGATATTGAATTTCATATTTGTTTGAAAAATGGCCTGCTCCATGACTTGCAAGGTTTTCGCTTATACAACAAGAAAGAGGGAGCGAAATAGAGAAGCAAGTCGTACGTATGTAGTGAGCTACATGCACAATAGAAGAGAGAAAAAAGTCCATTAATAATCGTTCTTTTCTTTCGTGTCGTTGTCGCCCTACTGTTTACTATAGGAAACGAAAATGAAACGACACGAAATCTATAGATTGATTTTGACATCGATGAAATAGAATAAAAAATTGTGAACATTATAAGACGTAACATATATATATAAAATATTCACCAAAATCATACTCTCGTTTACCTTTCTAACAAATGTTCGTGTAATGGCAAACAACAGACCATCATGTTGATATGTTGAATAAAGGAAATCACCATATGCATATGTGAGAATCAAGCAAAGGTCGATATTCGACAAGTAATAAGAAGAAAACAAAAAAAAACTGATGCTCATCTTGTGTATGATGTTCAGTCAGTCGATTCAATTATAAGCACGCTCTACGCTCTAATATAATAATGATGATTCGACCAGTGAACAACAACAAGATAGGTCAAGTCAAGCGAGCCAACGCGATATGTCCGTCTGTCTATTTATTTATCTATCTCAAGGGATGTGCGCGTATCTTCTTCGTTGGAAGACAAATAATCAGGAAAAGTCATTCATTCATTCAAAGAGAAAGAAAGAAAAGTAGCCATCATAATGAGAAAACAATAAATGCATATTTCACACAAGTTTTAATATCAGATTTCATAGTAAAACAAAGAAAAATGAAAATTACTTAAAATCTTATTTAGTTATTAACGAAACTATTGAAATAAATCTTAAAAGTGAAGTGATTTTTTTTATAAAAAATGTCACTATGAAAATTGTATGATGATTATGATTCTCATTTTGTCTTCAATGAACTCTTTACACATATGAATATATACTAAACTATACGTTATATTATTGTTGTTGTTCCCTATTGACAATAAAGTATACTTAAAACTTACAAGGCATCAACAAACATTTGAGTGGCAAGCTTTTGTCGATGATGATGATGATGCAAAATACTGTATTGTCGCCTTCTCCAACAAAATGAACTTACATGTATATATATATATATATATATATGCTTCTTGTTGTCGATATAGGCGTTTCGATTGAAGAAAGAAGTAAGCAAGAGAGGGAGAGACAGAGAAAAAAGTGAACGGCTCCTATGTATATATATATATATATTAATGTATGAAATATGAATATATGCGTAGGATATATATATATGTGTGTGTGTGTCTGAGCCGAGAGGAGTATTTAGGTCCTATCGTCGTCGTTGTTGCTAATGAATGCCTCTCGTTCGATATGATATACAGATGAAGCATATGCAAAAATTAAACGAAAAAACAATAAATCACTATTCGTCTGTTTGCACATTTATAAATATGCACATATAGATACATTATATATGAAGAGGACACATCATGAGATATCGGATAAAAGAAAAGAGATAATACCCATCGGATACTGATGATGTGCCTGTCGGCAATATAGCCAGAATTCATTGAGTCAGAAAAAAAGAAACAATCTTATCTTTTTCTATGTCAGTCCCTGAGGTATCATATACCAATACGGAGCAGGTCGAGTTTATATATTGTTCATATCTCTGTGATTGTTTTTGCTTCTATGCTCAATAATTAACAAAATATGGAATGCATTAGAATGAACAATGATGACAAGCAATAAAAGAATGTCAATAGTTATCTATCGACATGTTACGTATTATTGAGAACACTTGCTTTCTTTTAAGATAAGATTAAGAGACCGATAACAATACTGGTTATATATGTTAAATAGGAAAAAATTACGAATGTCAATATGAAGAAAAAAGACACATATTATGAACACTAAAAATCTGTTGAGTACCTTCAGCATTATATCAATCTTGAATGATAGTTCAATTGATAAACAAAAATTATCGCTTTTTTCAATGATCCAATATACTTTAATTAGAAGAATATCAATCATTATTTATCTTGCTTTTAGTAATTTTATACAATAGAAACTAGTATAACACTGAGCGACAGTTCAAATAAAATAAAAAAAAAAAAACTCTAAATAGAAATACAAGTTTAGCCAGGTACACGACTTTATCTCCCATTATCAATATACGCAGTATTTATCATGAGAAAGTTTCATTATCTATTGATATATTAATAGTTATTTGTTAACAATCAGATTCTAATGTAACATTCTCTTGTAGTAATCTACATATCTTTTATTATAATGCACATGGGAATATTATCATTAGCTCACATCTTCACATCAAAATTGAATAGATCATGTTTTTCATGATGTGACAAGTAATTCGTTTTATTTAGACACATAAGCATGAGACCGTAGAAAATTTAAAAAAAAAAAGACAAATCTTGAATTATTCAATTCTCACATTAGTGAATGAATTTAACTTTCGACTTACATTGACTGTATCGATCTATTCAAGCATGAAAAAAGTCCATAAATTCTACACATATTAGGTATTGTTGTGGTTTTTTCAAGTAAAGAATTGATTCATTTTTTCTAACTTCGGTTACAAAAAAAGTACACAAAGAATTTTGTATGTGTGCAATCAATAAATTAGTTATGGCTAGCCGATTGTTTTGACTGATCAAACAAAAACTAAAAGCTGAACTCATTAGAATTATTTTATATAAAAATGACTCGTTTATATCGTTTATATGTAAGATGAAAGCAATATGACTCACAAGTCAATTAATGTTATTTGACTCATTCATGTTGCTTTTTAAGTAATAAATTTTATTATTTTAAAAAGAATAAAAAATACGATGATAGGTATAGATAAAAATATAGAGAATCATCAAATATTTTGTTTGAACTTCTTAACAAACACTATCATATTATCTCATCACATAGTTATTATTTTTAATTATCAATTTTTATATTAAAGAAATAATATTAACATGAACTATTTTGTGTTCATACGAAAATATTTCAATTGTTGTTATTATAATGGAAGATCTTCCTTCTAATTATGATATCATTTTTACTGAATATTATTGAAAAAAATAAACATGATATTATTTCGAATGATTTAATTCGGTTCATTATTATGAAAATAAAGAAAGAAATAAGACAACAAAGTTTTATTTTTTGAAAGGTTTACGTAGACAAGAAAGTATAAAGTCAATTAGTTGACGTGTGACATATAATGGTTAATTTAGCAATAGCCATATGTCTATTTGATAGATAATTAATGTGACAGTTAAATAGAATATATAATTCTAGATTTTGAACACCATCACGACAACAAAAAACAGAACATTCAGCGCATAAGATTTCTAAACAACATCTAGCTTGTTTTATTTCTAATAATTGTGTAAGATCATGTAAAAAAGATCAACCAATCGGTATGAGCTGCTTGACAACAGGAACTAGAGCCAATTTATGTTTCGTATCAAATTAGAAGATAATTATCAATAAGAGTGGTATGATGAGTACTATCATATCGGTTACATTTTTTTTGTGTTCCATTCACCATTCATAAAGCAAGTATTCGCCATCAAACATACCAAGACAGTTAGAAATAAAATGCTCAGGCTGATAAATAATATGAACTAGTCTATCGACGTTATAAATAATTAAATCAATGGGATAAATTATTATAAATACTTTCTTTTATCTCTGTTCATTGTATAATAGAACAAACCATCGTAAATATATAATTCAAAAAAAATATGGTTGCAAATACAGATCTAATTACATTTGTTTCTTTGTAGTATGGATGATGCTGTCTGCTCATTACATCATTTATTGTCTTTGATTTTTAATATAAAAATGTCGAAAAGACTTCAATACCATTTTGAATACTTTCCTTTATAATTACATTTCGTTGCCATGGAAATCATCGACAATCAAAAAATCAACATTTGACTATTCACTAAAACATTTTTTCTTGACACTCATATCAATATTGGTTGAAATAATTTTAATCGTACTGTCCGACTTTGATTTCATGAGAATAGGAAAAGACATAGTCATTTACAATGAAGACAGGAAAGGTTGGATATTAAATGAAATTAATGCATTTTGTAGTTCTGTTTCTTAAAATGAAAGAAATAGCTTTCGACAAGTGTTAAAAATAGGATTCACAATAATTATTGTTACAATTTTTTTCTTGCTGTTCTTATTTTTCTAAATTGCACAGATCTATTATTCGCTTATTTTCATTGTTTTTGTTGACTAAATTTCGATTAAATAATATGTATAATTATTCGTACTTTTTTTTAATGTCACATTGTCGTACATAATGATTAAGATTATATTTTCTCGTACCCTTCTGCTTATATTTGTTTAATATTAAGTGTTTAAATGAAGAAACGTAGACTTGCACAAAACTTCACAAAAGAAAGGTGCTTTTTAATATGGCTTCTAATTACTTTTGATGTCCTGTACGTTATATTTTTTTTTTTAATATGACATGAAAAATGGTATTGTATTGTAATCAAATAGATGTACTATAAAAATGAACTGAAAAGATATAAACACATACGTGTCTTCTTAATTGCGGACAAAAATCAAAACAATTAGAAGACCGACAGTGTGGGTCAGGGCTGAAATATGTATGGTTAAGTTTTTCTTGACTATGAACATATATTATTTTCATGAAAAATGAGTTACTTGAAAAATGTGTTTTTAACAAAACAATTAATCGAGAAAGTAACTGTTAGTTTTTCAACTCTATATGTATGTGTGAATTGAGACTGATGCATTAGATTTGGCAAAATACACGTAACAATTTCTGTTCTATTTCATGATTTGATTCATATAATAATCTTGCCAAGTATCACTAATAGTTTTATTGAATTGATTGCAAAATTCTGATCATTTTTATTTACATTAAATGTAAAATAGATTGAATAGATAATGGATTTATCATGGTTAAATAAAAGATTTTCTCAACAATAACAAATAAGAGTTTTTGAGAAATTTTGAAAGTTATTATTTTCAATACATCTTATGCATTGTTTTTTGTTTATTTATTATATATTAATAGATAATTTGATAAAATCAATCATGATTTATCGAACTAAATAATGAAAAATATTTGCAAGATTCTGATAAATATGGTTCTTGTATATGAAAAGAAAAAACTTCTATCGTTCGCCTGTCATGTGAAAAGAAACGTAAATTTTAACAGATTAAGTTATATGATTTTGAATGGTTTGTTTTTAAGCGACAATTATTGTTTGCTTTTTTTTTCAAGTATTAGAAAACATCATTGAGAATATTTTGTCATTGTCATCATTTCTAAAGAAGACGAGTAACGAAAAACACCGACGTTCGCATTCGTTAAAAGCCCATATTTTAATAGATGAAAAAGATTTTTTTTTGTTTTGACCGAAAAAAAAGGAAGTTGGTGAAAGAAAATGTTTTTAAATTTGTTTTATTCCGAGAATAAAATCTTTTTTGATGCATTAAAATTTACGCCTTGTTGACGTAAAAAAATAGCTAAATTTTTCGTTATTTGTCTGATTGGGTTATTTATCTTTACCTGTAATCGAATAACATAATATTTGTCGATTGTAGTATGCAATAGGAGAAGGAAGTTCATATTTCAAAAAACCAAAAACAAGAAATATATGTATATATACATATAGATGTCTAGTTTCTTTCATCCTTGCATGTAACTGTTTATTTTAGTTGATTCATTTGAGAACTAGATCATTTTTAGAATATTAACAGTATCTGTTGAAATATTCATTTTATTTATGAAAATTAATAGTGACTAACAAGTTTATGATTACCAACAGCTGCTGGAATTTCACTTTGTAGTTTTAATATATCTGCTTTTGATACATGTAGGATTTCTGAGCCAAATACACCTCGTATTTCGAGATATTTTTTTCCACCACAATAACGTTTACAACATCCACAACATGCACAACATTTAGTACAGCAGCAAGAACAACAATCTTCATTGTCTGATGATTCACGTATTTCAGCTATATCGCGTAAAAATATCGAAACATCCATATGACCTGGTGTACAACAGCAACTACAACATGTTGTATCCATCGATCGCAGCAATAATCTTGTATCAGTAAGAGTCGTATAATATGAACCCGAACAATCACAAGTTCCTTCTGTCGTTGCCCAACTACGTATGAAATGTTCATTTCCCATTAAAGCAAAAGTATTATGAATTTCAACATCACGTGGTTGTTTAGTAATATATGCCGCTCCAACACTCGACATTGATAGCTATGAAATTTAAAATAAAAAATTGAATTTAGATTTATTACTACTATAGTTAAAATGATGCGTTTATTTGTTTGAAAAAATAAAATTCACATAGCTGTTCTGTTTACTTCGAATGTTCGATTAAATTTTTTACTTTTTTTCTGCTTCTTACTTTTCTTCTCAAGTCAAATATTAAAATGAAATTTTGCGTGGGGTATCCTGTCATCTCCTTAAAATACTCTAACAACATTTAAAAAAAAAAAGTCATATTAAAAGCAATGAAAATTGCAGCGCTTAAGTAAATAAAGACAATAACTCAGAATAGAATCGGTTCGTCAAGTAATTTTGTTTTGTTTTTAAAAAGAAATAAGAAATATCATATTGTATTGTATTCCATCGATTTGAATAATAGATAAAATAGTTGTTAAAATTTATGTGCTCTCTACTGGAATAATAATTATTCAAAATATTTTCTATTATGTACAAACACAAGAATGGACAAGGATTATTTTGTTACTCAGGATATACAATACATGGATTAGTCGAATAAAATATATAAACGCAAAAAATAAAATAGCAACAAATCAATACACTACTAACTTTTCAACAAAAAACAATAATGATAATAAGAATAAGAAGAAAAGATTAGATTAGATTAGTCCTTATTCAAGTTTTTTATTCTTCTTAGAAATTGAGTTGTTCGCCTTCTAACTTTTGTCCTGTACTTGAATAAACATCATAATTAGGTAATACATCTTTTAAATCAGATGCTTTTATTTGTACATATTTTTCGTCTGTATAACCAGATGCTGTGTCACCAGCTGATTCATAACCTGTTTCTCCATGATTAACTGTATAATAACGTGTTGATGTTGTTGTTCGTCTAGCACTATTTGATAAATCAACTTGATCCGATGGCATATCATATATTTGTGAGCCAAGTTTTGTTAAAAGATGTGTAGGAAATTTACCATTATTACTTGTATATGATCGTAAAAGCATTTCTTCTGTAAGAAGAGGTGCACTTGATATATTTTGATCAAAATTATAATTATTTGCATCATAGACAACTGTTGTTGAATTATTCGGTGAACGATTATATAATATTTGTTGTTCACCATATTCATCCGTAATACCAGAATGAGATGATGAACGAACAAGACGCATTCCACTACCACCAGTATTTGTCGTATATATTTGTTTTGAAGATGATGATGATCCATAGCTTAAACAAAAAAGTTTTATTATTTCTAACAAAAACAAAATAATAAAAATAAATTTGTTTTTACCCATTAAGAATTTGTCGAACATTATATTCATCAGCTTTTTCAAAAGCAATTTCCTCATTTGCAGCAGATGCTTGTTGTTGTTGCATTAGAGCTATTTCTTCTTGTAAACCTAGTTCAGATAATTTTTGTTGAACAAATTCTGTAGTATATAATTTATCTCCATAGTGACTATAATATCGTTGAGGATCAGCCTCTTGAACTCCTATTTTTTTAATATGTTTAACAACTTCGACTTCTGGTGGACGCCATTCAATAATTGTATTTTTTATACGAGTCATTGGTTCTAATGGTTTAGCTTTTTCATGAATAACTTGACGTTTTTGTTTCTGATATGGAAGCCATCGTTCAATAATGACAGGACGTGGTTTTGGTGGAAGATTAGGTAGACGTTCAATAATTAATTTACGAGGTGGAGGTGGTGGCGGTGGAATAACCTCTAGAGAATAAAACAAAAAAATAATGTTCAATACTTATGAAAGAAATGATTTGATTAAAATAAATTGCTTTTAATGACTGTTGTTGGTACAGATTTTGGACGTGAAGGTGGTTTTTCGCGAATAATAACCGGTGAAGGTGTACGTGGTGGTGGAGGCCGTTGACGAAGAATAATAGGCGGAGCAGGTGGTGGTGGTGGAGCGCGAATTTCACGAATGACAATAGGCTAGAAAAAATCAAAAGAACGAAATTCATTTATAAATATTTTCTTTTTTTTCCTCATGAATTTTAAATTGTTGAAAAGAATTTCAAAAATCTTACTCCTGGAGGCGGTGGTGTATTAGGTTTTAAATATCGAACAGCAATATCTTGTGTATATGTTAATCGTTGTGTATTTGGTTGAACAATTAATTCAGGATTAGCATCAACATTGATCGGATAATTTTTAACATCAGGTGTTGCTTGTGTAGTTAATGCTCGAACTTCTTGATCTTCAACTACTGTATTAGCATAAGTTGTACCTGATTCAAGTAATTTTTTAATAGATGGATCTTCTAAATAACGTGTTACAGTAGCTCCTGATGATTCACTTCCTCCATCTCGGTAATAATATTCTCGGGAACCTGAACGTGATAATCGTTCACCATTTTCATTATTGACATTTGTTGTAAGAACAGTTGAATACGTTGTTGACATACCACCTGGCCGATTGCCTATATTTGTTTCATCATACTCATCATTCATTCTAGCACTTGTTCTTGTCGTACGACTTGTACGTGCTGTACGACCTGTCGGTACATCAAGAACATAACGACGAGGTGGAGCACCTATTGAACCTGTTGATGAAGTAGGCATTATACCACCTGAATTAGTATTATATGAAGTAGCCGTCGTCGTGTTACTTGCACCTCGACGACCCAACTGACGAGTCGAGATAGCCATCTGTAAAATTATTTTATTTATTTAAAAATTGCCTTGAATCCTTTCTAATCGGAATATATTTCAATCAAATGCAAATTGTGTCATAAATATCAACTAGCAATCAATAGAAGCTTAAATATAAAAATATTGATTTACATATTTGTAAGACGAATAGAAAAATTTAGGCTTTCACAACAGATAAATATTAGTCGTTCGTTTTTTCTTCTTACGTATAAAAATAAAAATAAGAATAAAAACAAAACCTAAACTTCTTATTTCAATGGACAATTTATTCTTGAAACTGTATTTTCTTTTCTTGAGAAAGACCGGAAATAATTCCAACAGTTCCCTACATATTCATATTTCCATCGGCATCATCCAAGGACTTAGTACATTAATAAGAAAAAAAAAAGTTTATATGGCTAAAATCAAACTACGCAAAAAGAAACCATAAAAAGTTTTATTCTAAGTAATGACGAGAAAATGACACGTGAGTTTAAACTTACCGCAATTTTTCCGAGCTAAAAAAAAATAAATGCTTCAGTATTATTCTTGTTCTTTTTAACTGAGAAAAAAAAAACTGTCGTGACTTATACTTATTGACAGGACAGGAAAAGAAGTAGAGAAACTAAGATGAAAATACGTGACAAGAGTATAAAAAAAGGCGGCAAAAACCACAACTAGCTAACTCTCACCATCTCCTATTAATGTCAATAAAAGTCAACAAAGATTTAACACAGTCATATATTAGTCTTTTCTTTTATATTTTACTATAACACCTGCATATAATGAATATTTCTCTCTTTATATTTACTAATGAAAAGAAAAGATCGACTATAAACAACAAACATAGGCATATCATAATCAAATCGAAAAACATCGAATAAAATGAACAATATCTTTTCTTTTTCAACTAATATACATACTTAACAAAAAAAAAGGAGTAAAAAGAAAACAAATCAATATGCATATTAGTCAAAATAGTTTGAATATATTTACATATATGTTATAAAAAATTATATATAAAAGTATGTTTCTCTCTCCCTCACCTATAGATTGTTGTTGTATTAAGTATAAAAATGCTAGCGTGTATCAATTGGTTAAGTATTTCTGCTCGATTTATTTGATCGACTGATCAAGCCACTTAATTGCTGTTCTCACTACAATAATGATGAGCGCAATGAAAGAAAAATGTATATAGTCTGTATAATTCATGAAAATTTATCACTGATTAGGTATTGCCATTGGAGCCTCTTTGATTATGAATACGTATATGTGTGTTATTACCTTTTCTTGGCTTTTTTTTGTGCTTCTTTTTTTTCCACTATTATAAATTCTTTTTCTTTCTGTGTTTTTTGCTTCTGTCGCGTTCTTCTCCTGTCTTAGTGTGTTGATCGAAAGATTTGACGGTAATGTTGGTGCGCGCGTCTAACAGAACAACAAATATTATTTGTCAAAGTTTGTTATTCAAGTATCGTTTGCTGGTATTTCAAGGTCACCTGCTGCTGCTTGTAGTACTATTACTATCTGAATAAAGATGAATCTAATTGCCATATACTTACTAAAACATCTTAGTCATTTAAGGTAAAAAATAAAATCATTTCTGTACTTTACGTCTACTTCATACACAAGTTGACGAGTAAAGACAGGAAGAAATAAAAACAACTACTGAAAAATTCAACTGTCAGTTATGTTTTTTTCTCTTTTGACAAAGAACAAAAGATACGCTAGATTTTTTTTTTCTTTTCTCTTTTTAACCATACATTTAACTGCTATTGATAATAAAAATACCCTTTCATGAAATCTATACTTTTTAATTTAGACGTATGTTTATTATTGTTGTTTCGTTGGATGTAAATCTGCATACATCATATAAGGTTTATCATTGATCAGAAAGAGAAAAGAGAAAAACATGAAAGTAAAGAAAAAAAAAGAGATAACAAAAAACAAAAAAGAGCAACATATATAAAACGAAGCAAATAGATTTTATTTGACAACGAAATTACTAGTAAAATCTGTAATAGTTGAAAAGAGTGCACGTAAGACGAATACGACCTTTCTTATCCTGTTTGTCAAGTGAATCACAAAAAAATATTATTTCTGGTCTTTATTTATTGAATGTCAAAATATTTGGTTAAGTTCAATGAAGATATACACAAGTAGATAAGTTTATCTTATAGTATTGGAAAATGTTTCATTTTTAACTTAATTAAGAACTTATTCTTATCTTGCTTATCTTAGAAAATACTTCCATTAACAAGGATCTATGTTCAAAAACTTACATCAAGGTCGTTTTTTTAATCATTAATTGTTACTAACATACATTTATAGCAAAATAAAAACATTATAATGCATGTCTAATGTGCATAT